GATTGGCACAGGATAGAGCAGGGTTTAGGGCTGTTGTACATAGGGTCTCTATGAGTCGCAAGCGACTCGATGGCACATAACAACAACAACATTTCTACAATAATGGTCTTGTACAGTAATTGTGCTTATGGGACTGAGTTTACTTAGCATATGCTACTATTTTCAGGTTGCCATCCGCTTGATTTCTTTTCCTTATTTTTTGATTTGCATTTTTGTGTCTAAGGTTAATCTCTTGGAGATGGCATGTAACGGCCTTTCATATCCCCTCTGCTGATTTGGGGGTTCAGTTTTCTGTTTGGGGGATCCATCTTGCCGCTCTCTTTCTCTTGACTGGAGCATTTAAACCATTTTGTTCAGTGTGATTACTGCTATGTAGTAATGTACTGTTGCCGTCCATTCATGTTTTTATTGTGAGGGTACTGATTTCTCTGTCCCACATACTCCTCCAAGCTGAGCTCGTATTGTCAGACTTTCTTCACTGTTAGTGCTTTGTTGTTGTTGTTGTTGTTACGTGCCGTCAAGTCACTTGCAATGCATAGCGACCCTATGTACAACAGCCCTAAACTCTGCTCTGTCCTGTGCCAATTGCACTGTCTCCAATACACCCATCCCAATTACCCCAATCACTGAATCAGTACACCTCATAGAGGGCCTTTCTCTCCTGCGCCGTCCCTCCACTCTCCGAAGCATGATGTCCCTCTCCAAGGACCGGTCCCTCCTCACAACATGTCCAAAGTATGTTAGATGGAGTCTCAGGATCCTTGCCTCCAGGGAGCCACCCAGTTTGACTCTTTCAAGGATGAATCTGTTTGTTTTCCTAGCAGTCCATGGTACCCTCAATACTCTTCTCCAGCACCACAGCTGAAAGACATCAATTCTCCTTCTATCCTCCTTAGTGACTGTCCAACTATCTGGTGCATAACAAGTGGATAGCAAAGACCATGGCCTGTATCAGATGCACCTTAGTCTCCAGAGAGACACCATTGCTCTTCAGTACTTTGGAAAGGTCCCTAACAGCAGACTTTCCCATGGCAATACGTCTTTTAATTTCCTGGCTACTGGTGCCGGCCGAGAGTGTTGACTGTTGAGCCAAGCAAACGAAAGCTGTGAACAATGTCAATCTCTTCACCATCCATCCTGATGCTGCCAATTGGTCCAGTGGTGAGAATCTTTGTCTTCTTGACATTGAGCCTCAATCCATACTGGAGGCTGCAGTCCTTGACCCTCTACAGCAAGCGCTTCAGGTCCTCCTCAGTTTCAGCAAGCAGGGTTGTGTCATCTGTATAACGCAGATTATTGATGAATCTTCCACCAATCCTGACACCACACTTCTCCTCATAGAGCCCAGCCACCTGTATAATCTGTTCTGCATACAGGTTGAAAAGGTATGGGGACAGGACACATCCCTGGCATACGTCCTTCCCAATTTTGAACCATGCAGTGTTTCCTTGCTCTGTTCTGACAACTGCCTCTTGGTCCAAGTATAGATTTCTCATTAGCACAAAGAGGAAATAGAAGATTTTTACCAACTTTTACAGTTGGATTTCGATCAAACGTGCAATCAAGATGCATTGATAATAGTGGGTGACTGGAATGCAAAAGTTGGGAACAGGGAAGAAGATTCAGTAGTTGGAAAACATGGACTCAATGACAGAAATGGAACTGGAGAGAGAATGATTGAATTTTGCACGATGACTTATTCATAGCAAATAATTTTTTAAGAGACATAAACGCAGGTTATATACATGGATTTCACCTGATGGTATGCATAGGAATCAGATCGATTACATCAGCTGAAAGAACCTCTGGAGAAGCTCAATATCAGCTCTGAAAACTAGGCCAGGAGTTGGTGTGGAACAGACCACCAACTAACTACTCATATTCAAGTTCAAGCTGAAGCTGAGGAAAATTAAACCGAATCCACGGGAACCAAAATATGACTTTGAGTTTATCCCACCTGAATTTCAGAACCATCTCGAGAACAGGTTTGAGGCCTTGAACACTAATGAGCGAAGACCAGAAGAGTTGTGGGAGGATATCAAACCTATCATCCAGGAAGAATGCAAACAGTCATTGCAAAGACAGAAGAGGGAGAGAAGACCAAAATGGATGTCAGAAGAGACTCTGAAAAATGCACTGGAGCGCCGAGAAGCCAAAGCACGAGGAAGAATTTAAAATACTAAAGAGTTGAATAGAAGATTTCAAAAGGCATCACGGGATGACAAAGTAAAACGTGCAATGAAATGTGCAAAGAGTTGGAGTCAGAAAATCAAAAGGGCCGAACTCGCTCATCATTTCTTAAGCTCAAGGAACTGAAGAACAAACTCAAACCTCGAGTTACTATAATCAAGGATGCTTTAGGCAGAACATTAAATGATCTAGGAAGTATTAAAAGAAGATGGAAAGAATATACTGAGTCACTGTATCTAAAGGAATTGGCAGACACAGAAGAATTTCATGAATCAACATATGAGCAAGAGCCTATGGTGATGAAGGAAGAAGTTCAGTCTGCTTTGAAGGAAATAGCAAAAATAAGGCCCCAGGAATAGATGGTATACCAATTGAGATATTTCAGCAAGCAGATGCTGCCCTGGACATGCTCACTAAGTTGTGCCAAGAAATCTGGAGAACAACCACTTGGTTCCCATCCCAAAGAAGGGTGACCCAACAGAGTGTGGAAACGATAGAACAATATTGCTGATTTCACATGCAAGCAAGATTCTACTGAAGATTATCCAAAAATGACTGGAACAACATCAGCAGAGAACTGCCAGAAGTCCAGGCTGGGTTTAGAAGGGGTCGTGGTACTAGGGATATTGTAGCTAATGTTAGATGCATCTTGGCTGAAAGCAGGGAATACCAAAGGAATGTGTATCTGTGTTTTTGTTAGTGCTTTAGTGTTTATTAAACCTTTATATAGTCTTCTTAGTTTGGGTAGAGAGCTTATTCACTCTCCTTGTAGATATCCTATAGTTTATTTCTGTTCTGTCCTGTTATCGGACAATTGGAAGTATGATTTGAGGGTGTGTTTTGTTTTGTTTTGTTTTTAATTTACTCCACTCTCTTAATTTCTTCTGGATAGTTCTGTCACGTTTTCAATTAACAGCAAATCCTATCACCCCACCCTCAGTCACATGTCCTTGTTTCTCTAATACCCTGCAGTTTGCATTTTCTCCATGATAATTAGCAATTACTGAGGCAATTGGCACAAATCTATTAGGTCCTTGCACAAGATCAGAAAAGAATTGAAAGATCTAGTTGCTGCTACTAAAGATGTTGCTGGTCTAGGGAACTTGGTAAAGAGGGCCAGGCAGTCACGAGCAAAGAGTACGAGACAGGATGTCCTCAAGTGTCAGGTGGGAGGATTAGGCTTATCTGGTGTTCAGGGGGTGCTTCCTGAAGGGGGCTGAGATCTTTCATGGGCAGGTCTGTGTTCAGTCAACCTGAGTAGCAAGAGCTGCAGGCCCCTCCTTGGTCTCTGACGTATGGCCCATCTGAGAACAACAGTGCATGGCCCAGCTCTGCCTCTACTTCATTCCCATTTTGTCATGTAACAGGGAGAGCCTGGAGCAGCTGGAGAACAGGGACCAGCTGGCCCCAAGGTATGTGCATCTCACCTCCCTGGGGCTTGGTCTTGGGGAGAAAGGAAAGGAGGGGCATTCTGTCACCGGGCGGGAGGTCTGAGGCCACAGTACTGATTGGAAGCAGTCCACTTGAGGGCTATGTAGTCAGATTTCTAAATGGAGTTTTCTTGTGTTTATTATGAAATTCCTGGGCATCTTCTGAAAGTATTTGGAACCCCTCGTATGCCAGCTGCCGAAAGCCACTTAGGGAGGCAACCAGGTGTCATCACTGTGATGCAGTCCTTCTTTGACAGGTCACAGGCAGAAGTGACCCATCTTTCCCTCCTGGTCAAAACCCTTGGTTGAGATCTAATTTGTCTTATAGGGCTCCAAGGGAGAACCAGGGAAAGGGGAGCTGGTGGATTACAATGGAAACATCAACGAGGCTCTCCAGGTGAGTGGGGTGTAGCCAGAGGCTGGCAACATGCATGTCCTCCCGGACCTCAGGGCTCAGGACCATGATAATGGTCATGTTCCTCTGTATGCCCCAGAGGCCAGCCCACTGAGGGGAGCTCCTAGGAGCGAGGTTCTCCCTTGCTTCCTCTCCTTTGGTCATCTCGTGTGCAGGCTCAGGCAATTGTCCTCATCCTTTGGCATCCTGGTCAGATGGGCTGGCTCTCTGCCTGGGCACAGCTGGCAAGTTGGCTGGTGGTGGGCATTAGAGCCATGATTGGAGCACCCTGGCATCCTGTGGGTTCTGAGAGCCTAGTCAGTGCAGGCACATAAGAGAATGTATCTTCCTAGGAGTGGGGATTTTTGTTAACTTAATCACATTTTACATTCATAAGCTAGCAATTCCGTAAAGCAGGAAATTCTCAGCCCTAGCACAGCAGCCATTATTCTACTCCTTTCTAGTCTTGCGCACTGAGAGGTGTGTTTGGCAGCAGCCCTGGTCTCCACTCACTCAATGCTATAATAGCACCAGAACTTACATACAAACAAACAAAAAGTCTCCAGGCATTTCTACATGGTTTTGCGGGATAAGCAGGCAAAATACTCACCCTGGCTTGAAAATCGCTGTGTCAAAGAATTATTACTATGTGTGTCGTTCTTTTTATAAACCAGCAGCCTCCATCTGATTTCTTTTTTGAGTAGTCCATATTTTTTATATTTCATTCATTTCAAGTTAAAGTATATGTCAGAACCTTGAACTTAGAGTTCTGGGGAAAGAAGAACAAGAAAGGGCCCCCACTAGACAATTTAGAAACAGTGAGAAACCTTGTGGAAAGTGAAGGAAGTGTTGACGGTCCATTTTGGTTCATATCTGCGTTCATTCTAGAACAGACTTCAGAGCAGCCATTAGTTTGTAAAAGGGTGAATGTTCAGCAATTGTGGTGGAGGTTAGTGAAAGGCTTGTGGGGATGGGGGGGCTGGAGACCGTGAAGGCCCGTCTAGAAAGGTCTTTCTCTTCCTCCCACCCTCCGCTGTCCCATGTACCTTTGACTTGACAGATGTGACCGTCTAGATTGTTCTTTCTTTGCTCTTCAACTGACAGTGTGATATTGGCTTTTTAGGAAATCCGAACACTGGCCTTGATGGTAAGTCTTCCTCATTCTTTGCTTTCCTTGGCCACTGGGCTGGGATTGTAGGGGAGGCGGCCTGGAAGCAAGGTTGTGCACTGGGCTGGGATTGTAAGGGAGGCATCTTGGAAGCAAGGATGTGAGTTCTCCCCTTCAGCCAGTAGGTGAGGGAGGGGCTTCTGAGCTGCCCCCGAGCCGCGGCGCCTTCCTGTCATGGGGTTTCACAGATACAACGTCAGCGCCACTAGAAATGCTGGATCTAGTTCTCAACTGCAGGTGTGCCTAGGGAGGTGCAAATGGCTATCATACTGCAGCCAACTGAAAGGTTGCAGATTCACGTCCACCCAGAGGCTCCTCAAAAGAAAACCAGCCACTGAAAATACTGTGGAGCACAGTGTGACCCCCGTGGGGTCACCATGCGTCACAGTCTTCTAGATTGGCAGCTGGTTTGTTAGTTTTGTTTACAACTGGGCCAAGGAAATAGGGGTATCAAGGAGGAAGGTTTATGTTCCTCTTTTTCCTTAACCTTCAACAAATAGGATCCATAACCCTGAAAGACAAGACCAGTAGTGACTCTCCACGGATCCTCCTTCCCTGGAAATCAGTGCTCTCACCTGCACCTGACCAATAAGTGGATGTCAAATTCAGGTTGTACACATACAGGGGAGCAAAGAGTACAAGATTCTCAAAGTACTGGAATTTCATCCCACTTAATATATGTAGTAACAAGTAAAGAAACAAAAATTTATAAAGGAAAAAAAAATCTTTGTAGTGGCCCTACACCACAGGACACACAAAACAACAAGCTGGGAAGCAAACACCAGTCAGACCAGGTCCAAGCTCAGAAGCCGCTATCCCGTAATGTGATTCAGCAACTGATGAGCTTCGTGGGGAAACATTAAAATACATTGCTTGGCATAGCTTTTGGAAGCAAACTTTTCTGGAAGTATATCTTTTTTCTTAAAATCAGCTATGAGATGTCACTGAAATGTAATAAAATGTACCTGTTTTAAATGTCGACTTCTATGAGTCCTGACGGATCTATAGCAACCAGTCCACCATCCCTCCAGAAAGTTCCTTCAGGGCCTTTAGGAGTCAGTGTCCCCCACCCCCTCAGTCATATACCAGCTCTGATCTGTGCTCTGTCACACTAGCATAGATTTGTCTTTTCTAGTTGCTTGTGAAGAGGAGGATCATACAGGATAGGACAGAGTTCAGATCTGTTTCTCATTGGGTCTCTATGAGTTGTGCTTGACTCAACGGCACCTAACAACAACAACAACATTAATGGACTCACACAGTGTGTAGACTTTCTTATCTGACTTCTCTAGTGCAGATGCTGAGTATGATTGAGATTCATCCACATCGCTGTGGACACTGGTGCTCAATCCTTTGTTAATTGCTAATAGTGTTCCCTTTTTTTTCACTTGCTAATAAACATATGGATTATTTTTTTGGAGCATCTTGAGTCATCAGAATAGGGCAGATTTGTGTTCTTGAAGCCCAACGGGTCCCTCAGGGATACCTATAGGGAAGAGGGAGAGGTCCCTATGGTCTCCATACCCTGCCTGTTGCTTGCCTATTTGACATTTTTTGATTCCCCATCTTATTTCCTAAAATAACAACTAAGCCACTCTATTACTGAAGAAAGTATGATCCTCTGTTCTCTGCCACCCAGTTTCCACTTTTATCCACCTAGGGATGGGCCACTCCATCCCCAGTCAGAAAACTCCACATGGCTTTCTTTTCCTTCCTAGGGCCCCCCTGGTCTTCCTGGGCAAATCGGCCCACCTGGAGCTCCAGGGGTTCCAGGCCAGAAGGTAAGGCTTGTTTCCATGGGGTGGGGTATGAAGACCCTGCAGAGGGAAAACCCTGCAGAGGGACCACGACCCCTGTGCAGTGACCAGGACTGCCCATCCTACACGCTTATCTGCCCAGGGCCTTCAGCACCCAGGTCCCCCTGTAATTCTTCCAGAAGCTTCCAGACACCAGTGGTGCAGCCCCTCCTCCCAGTCCTCAGCCCTCCATCCCCACATCCTTCGTAGGCTCCTGTAAGTCATAGGCCCCTTTGATATGGTGGTGCTTGTGTCTGCACTTGCCTCCATCCAAAACAGCTCCCTAGCTGTGACCCCAAGTTGCCCATCAGGGAGTGCGGCTTTGAGTCCCAGTTTAATCTCCTACTTCCCCTCCTCCATCTTTGCCGACCTTATACATTACCCGCCACTAGACCCTGGTGCGTTTTCTCAAAGGGTTGTGCAATTTTGCCTACCTGTCCTGTGTTCAAGGCGCCCTGATGGCACAGTGGGTAAGCACTCAGCTGTTAGACAAAAGGGTCGCGGTTCCAATCCACCAGGTACTCTAAACCCCATGCCTCATGGAAGAAAGATGTGGCAATCTACTCCCACAAAGATTAGCAGCCTCAGAAATAATGAGACAATTCTGCTCTGTCTTAAATTGTCACAATTAGTGGGAAGAGTGGAAATCAACTCGACAGAGGGAGATTGGGTAGACCTCTTGTGGTCATGGGGCCTCTAGCCTGCAAGCAAATTTCTTCCCTTCTCTACCCTTCAGAGCATTTCTTCTTTTCTAGTTCATCTCAAAGGCCCTCCCCTGACACATCAAGGCATCCACCACCTCACCCTCTTCACTCCTCTCATTAACACCCACATAGCTTTGCCAGGTGATGGGCTGTGCATTCACCTGTATTAAAAGCAGAAGCCATGCCTTCTTGACAGCTACCCAACCCAAAGGGGCTTCCATTGATACAAAGACTTACGAGTGGCCAGGACAACAAGGACTGGGTTGGTAGAAGATAGGAAGGCAAACATAATAACCCCTTTCCTGCTGAAGCCAGTGCCCCGGGCTCACTGACACAGCTGCCCAGCAAGGGGAGGTCATACTTAAAAACAAAGATGGGACTGGACTATTGGTCCCACTGTCAATTGAGTGGGGTCTGTGCTTTGGGATCCTCCTCTGTCTGCTTGACACAGATGATAAAAGCACACTCCTTAGGGGTGAGGGGTGGTGGTGAGGATTCCAGGGGAGAGCTGTGTGTACAAGTGCTGAGAAGATGCCCATCTGGTAGGAAGTGTCATATCAATGGCAGTTACCAATATCTGTACTTCCGGCTCTTAAAGTGACCTTTAGTTGTTCTGGCTGCAGGGGGAGATTGGACTACCAGGCCCTCCAGGTCTCGATGGGGAAAAGGTAAGAACAGAAAATGATCCAAGGCTTGGGGAAGTGGGAGAAGGGGCAGGAAGGTTCTGGAACAAACACGGAATCGTGGTGTGGACAGGAGAAGAGGGGCAAAGGGGAGAGCAGCCAGCACTACAAAGGTCAAGCTGAGCCTCACAGTGCTGAAGCCAGGCAGACCCTGTGGGGATAGGATGGGCCTTGGCCAAGGACCCCTGGATGGCTCTGCCCATGCCCAGCCAAGCTCCAAAGAGCCAGGTCTGCCTGCTCTTGGGACCCCTGTTCTGGAGTTCTCTGCCTCCCTCTCCATCATGGATGGGGTCTAACAAGCATTGTTGCTCTTTTCCAAAGGGGCCTCGGGGAAAACCGGGAGACATGGGGCCCCCTGGCCCACAAGGACCTCCAGGAAAGGATGGGCCTCCAGGAATAAAAGGAGATGATGGACTCACAGGGAGCCCAGGAGAGAAGGGGGAAAGAGGGGAGATGGGACACGCAGGCTCCCCGGTGAGTGGATGGTACTGGGGTGGGACCCTTTGTCTCTGTCTGTCACTGCATGTACTCTGCTCCCACCTTCACTCCTGCTCTGCACATTGCCCACACTGCCTAGAATGCTGGAGCCAGGAATGAGAGTGGAGGGTTCACCCAGAGGCCCCCAGATCCACTTACTTTATGAAGGCCAATTTCCTGACTCAAGAGACCTGGGTCCTCTTTTATCATCACCTGTCCGTGACCTTGGAAAGTCACAGAGCCTTGCAGAGACTTGGTTTCCTAGTCTCTAAAATGGGGAGAATAATGCCTCCCCAGACACCTGGCTGGTCTAGTAGGAAGGAGACGGCATTTCAGATGTGAAACTGCCCTCTTTTGAAGCATGCAGAAGCCCTATAGGAGAGGTTGCATGAGACAGAGGGAAAAACAGCCCAGGCCAGTCAGGCCAGCAACATGATATGGGGACCTTCTCTGTCCCTCGGTTGTTCCTTTCTGTGAAATGCGCACCCTCCCAGCACCTGCCCTGGAGGAAAGGACCCACACCTGCATGCCACCGCTGGTCACAGATGCTCCGAACAGTACCATAGCTTCACTAACATAGGTCTTTGTCACTCTGTAGGGTCTAGACGGCCCAACTGGGGAGAAAGGAGAACCAGGTGACCCAGGGACACCCGGAGCGCCAGGATTGCCAGGCCCCAGTGGGCTCCCGGGATTTACAGTAAGGCGGGGGGCTGGGTGTGGCAACTTTGCACATGTAGCTGCAGTCAGGGGTTTATGAGCAGAGTATCCAAGGCTGGTATAACTGCAATGTGCCTGCCTCCAGGCTATGTTTTTTTTTT